GTCGTGGCTCTTCCATTCCTGTGAATAAATTAGCTGTAAATCTTTCCGAGTATCACGTAACTTCCTGTGTGAAATTTGCCGAGAGGATCCTCACAGATCCGGACCACCCATTGTATGCAGAACTGACACGCTGTCGTTCCCATCATTCAACACGCTCCCAATTTCGTCAAATTTCATCTCGAATTAATGCATACCGCAATTCACCCATACCGTATCTTGCTCGTCTACTCACAAACAAAGAGCGAACAATGAGTGAACTTTGTCTTAACCTTGGATTATGAGTGTGTTCATGCCTGTGAAAACTTTTCTCCCCGTTGATTATGTACATTGTGACGGTTAGCGTGTATGCTTTTAACTGAAATGTGAGCTTCAGTGCTTGCAAAAGTTATACACAATACAATACACAATCATTCCGAACGTAAGTAGAGGAAGAAATCAAAATCTTATTTTCGGGTTTCGTATCAGACTCAAACCAGGGAACTAATATTTCTCAATTTATTTTCACCCATTGATTTTTCGCTCAGATTTCAGCAAGGAATATTGTCTTGAAGTAGGAAATGTGGATGAGAGGTTTGCAGGTTGCAGCACTCTAAGTATTAAAGCAGTTTGGAACGGTATGGCTTACGAAAGGATGCTCAAAGCACTGGTGGGCATCAAATGCGGTTCAGTGTCTAAGCAGCTGTCCGATTGCCTCTGTGGAATCAACAATAATGTTTCCCTCACATCAGGCTGTAGTCTACCAAACACTTACACGATCCCGAGCGTAGCTCGATTAGATGACGCACAAAAACGAGCCATCCAAATGTCATTGGAGAAAGCAGTTTGTCTAATCCAAGGACCACCAGGGACAGGAAAGACAACCACGTCGATTTGCATAATCTATCACTTGTATCAACTAACTAGGGGAAAGATCCTCGCACTGGCACCGAGTAATACTGCTGTCGATAATCTGTGCGTCCGTGTGGCCAAAACAGGCTTGAACGTCGTACGATTGAGCGCATTATCACGTCAGAACCTATCCTCTGCCTTGCGCGAACTGGAGGTGCATATTAAAGCTCTTAACATTTGTCCCGAGTTGGCGAGGTTACAACGAAAGAAGGATCGTGATGGATCGCTAACAGAGCCAGAGAAGAAGCTTTATCGACGGCTGAAATTGAACACCGAAGGTAAGGCATTGTAAATATATTTCCCTTTTGAACTAACGTTTTATTCTACAATAATGTCGATCAGCGCCATGATCATTTTCAGTGTAAAATACCCCCAAAAATGGAAAAGTATCTTCCTTTAGTCGAATCAGTGTATCTTAGCCTGTCTGTGAAATGCGGTTGAAGTCGTAGTTTCTTCTTTTAGTTTGTGTAATCCATGATTTAGATGATAACATCTGAATTCTCACTCAGTTGGTGAGTCTTCTTTCCTCGGAACCCAATGGCTCCACTGACGCTAGCGTAATTGTGGACTAGAACTTGGGAACATGCACAGTTCCGAAGAGATATACATAAGACGGACGCCAACAGCTTTGATTCGATCAGGCTTAAACCTTGTATAGTTTTAGCAATAACCGCACGGGTCTTTCTCGAAAATGGGCAAACGGTCGACTCCTGGCTAGTAGAGCATCCGAGTGACTTCTCCTTGCGTGTTTATCGGACAGTCCAATGGAATGTGGCACATCACCCGATCCTGACATGCTCCTGAACAAATGCAGTCTAACTGAATTTGATCGCAGTACTCCAGCCCGTTTCATTTAAGGTACTGAGCTATGGGTTGCTGTGCTGTATGTTCTCTTGATTACGGGTGTACTATGAATACTGGTTATCAGTCAGTCGCTGTCCGAACACCGCTATCTGCTCTACAGTACATAAGCGTAATGGGTCGACCGAACAATCAGTTTTGAGGTTTGAACTTTTTGGGGGCAATCGCGATCGCTCACGAGAGCAAGTGCTCGGTCTGTATAAATGGCGTTTGCTGGAGCATCTCTTGTGGGCATCACCTAATACGATATATAGCGTTCGCCTAGGCAGCGAGTATGTAGATAAAGGTTAACGGGGGTGTCAAGCTAAGACGTGGCATGAGAGTATGAAAATCGCCACTAGGCACTTGCTTACATAGGTCGCATTGGGCTTCTCAGATGGAGACCTCGGGATAATCCTAATCAATGGTAAGACATACAGAGTGATATAGCTGAGTTTCGTTAACTGACGCTTGTGCATCTGGTCAGTATCTTTTGAAATTTAGCCGACTAGAATCTTCTGTCTTCCCATTGACGTGAGTTCCAGCATTCTAATTTCCTCCTCTCTTACCGCAATCGGTATCAAAAAGACAGCAACTTGAACTGCTGCAAAAACGCGCAGGGGTTATTGATGCATAAACTGAAACTAAAACTCAGGTATCTTACTACGTTTGGTGGGATCTATCATTCTTATCTTCTGCCTAGACGTGCAATGAACACAGTCGATTCTTCAGTAACCCAAAACAACAACGGGACATAAAACATGACTGGAGAACAACAAACAGCCAGAGTGCATGTTCTGTGATCCTCTCTCCGTTCCTACTTAATCCTTTCCGTTTGTATTTAACTTTGTCATAGATTTCATTCTTGAAACAGCCCTATCCTCGTGCGAGGATAGCGGTGTCGATTTACTCCCAAGTGGCAGACTGTCTGAGCTAGAGTATGCAGACGACATTGTGCTACTGAGTGAAGATCCAGGTAAGTTACAAGCCTTTCTGGTTAGTTTGAGTGCTAGTGTAGCCATGTTCGGTATGTGTTTCGCGCCCTGAAAGTTTAAAATGTTGCTTCAAGATTGCGTTGGTCCAGCACCCAGTCTCACCCTGTTTGAGGAAGTAGTAGAGGAAGTAGACCAGTTTTACTCTATGGGCAGCTATATCTAACCATCACCGATGAATTGTCGGCACACATACAATAGGCTCGGTTGACATTTCCCGACTTGAGACATTTGTGGCACCGTCGCGACATCCGGCTGTCTGTGAAGGTTTGAGTATGTGCTGTAGCAGTTCGGCCAGTCCTGCTCTACGGTGCAGAGACATGGCCATTACGAGAACAGGATATAAATAGATTATCGGTGTTCGAACACTGCTGTCTACGCCGCATTGAAGGTTTACAACTACCCCAACGTTGCATCATCTTCCACATCCTTCACTTACCTACGTATCATTTACTGCTGAAAACGTCAAAGCAAAACTAATGGCTTTGCGAA